AAAAAAAAAAATCACACAAAATCTCAAACAATTCTAATCACAACTCTTCATATCTACTTTAATAGAACTTACATATCGTACAACAATTTGAATTCATTACTTTTGAATGCTCAATTCAAATCACAATACTATTGGCCTTGAGATCCACCTGAATCGAACAACACCAAACAATATAGTACAACAATTTTTTAATTAATTACAATAATCTTGAATTCAAAGTTATAGATAAATCAAAGTATTAAGTACACCCATTTAGAAGAAATAGACGGTAATACTATAGTAACTTCAATTTACATTAAAATTGTTATACATACACACTTTGGCATTCAGTTAGTAGTAAATCGATCGCCTCTCCCAAACCTTAGTTTTTCTCTCCTTTTGTTATTTTTGGGGAAAAAACAGAGCGAAGAGGGGAATCAAAAAGAGAAACAAAAACCAAAAGCATTTCGTTTCTCCCTTTTTTACTTGTTGAAAAACGAAATCAAATGTACAAAAAAATAGTGTCCCCAATGCAATAAGCATTTGGTATGGTAATTTTATTGTATATTATTTTTGTTCGCAAAACTATACACAAGATGAGGGCCCCGGGGGGTTCTGCACGCCTTTGAGTAACGTTTTGGCACTCTCGCAAGCCGATTTGAGGCTAATCGAGCCCACGGGCGCCAAGTCAATGTCGGCCAGCTCGATATTTTCGCAAGGGAATTTCGTGCTGCAGGCGAGATTTACCGGAATTTCCGAACTTGTGGTGCCCTTTATGTTTAGGAAGTGAACGTCGCTGATTTTCACGCTCGATTGCTGTGCAGTACAAACAGATGAATGAACGAACGAATAAATTAGCCATAATGTACTTAAAATCGAAACACGGAATTGTATTATGCATGCTTTTTTTTTTTTTTTACTTCATTACGTACCTTTGGCTTGTTCTTGGAGCTATAGTGTTGGTCGATGATGATTGGATTCTTGACTTGATTCATCACGATATCTTGGTAGATAATTCCCGACGCGCTTAGTTGTGGGGAATCATGGAATGTCTTGATCCTCGCGCCATTGGTCGTGCCCGTGAGCGTGCAGTTCTTTACGGTGATCCCCGCCACATCTAATTCGTTCGGCCGCTTTCCAAGGCTCCCGACACTATTACAAAAAACGAAATTTCAACATTTTTCACAATTTTACATTCGTCGAGAAACATCATTTTTTTTTCGCTAAATTGCATTGTTAGTCCTGCTAGTATTACATCATAATAATTAGATACCTAAGATTCTAATATTTCTCCTCAAATTTAAATTGGACATGTGATTTAATATATTTGTTGAAATTTCTGTCAAATTGCAATAGATTTCCAAATTTATATCTTTGGCATGATTTTTTATTAGTAATTTCAATCATGTAATTTGAAATTTTGTTGCAATTTTAGTCTTCAAATGACTGAAACTGCAACAAAATATTAAATCACGGGACCAAAAGGCGAAAAATTGAAACAGTTAGACTAGAAATGATATGACGTTAAACCAATAGGACTAAAAATCTATTTTTACCCTTTTTTCTTTTTTCTTTTGCAATATTGAACATTACCTTATTCCGTGTCCGGGACCGCACGTGACTCCGGTAACGGTGACATTTTTGCTCCCTTGGCCTATGGAAATGCAGTCGTCTCCGGTCCCGATGATGGAGTCCGTGATGTCGATGTTGGTGGCGTTGCTCAAGTGGAGGCCGTCCGTGTTGGGACTCGTCTCGGGTGCCGTGATCTTCAAGTTGTTCACGGCCACGTCGTGACTGTCGGTTACCTTCGTGTGGAACCCCATGCTGTCGACGAAATTGAGGTCGTGCAACTTGCAGTTTGAGACTGCTTGGAATACAAAAGACTGGAGCCAAATCACGCGTGCATGCAACAAACACGATCAATTAGTCTCCCGGGTGTGTAAATGAGTTGGAGCTCATTTTTTGACGAGTCAAATAATGGAGAATTATATAAAAAGTCATATTGTCGAGAATTATATAAAATTTCGTCTTTTCGAGTTTTATGGAGCTGAGTCGAACTCGACTTGTTAACTAAAAGAACTTTAACCGGACTCGAGCGATCAACTCGTTTATCAAACTAGCTCGGAGTCCCTGGAATACAAATGGTTGGGGCCAACCCGTGCATGAAACAAACAAGGTCAACTAGCCTCTCGGGGTTGTAAACGAGCTCGAACTTTAACTGAGTGAGTTCCAGCTCGGCCCGTTACCGATATTAATATAAGAAACTATGTTGTTGGGAAAAATACGCTGAAATTTCCATGAAGTCGGATCTATAAAAGTGAAATAAAAACGAAAAATTGGACACACCAATTTGATAACGGAGTTCGGCCAATAATGCCTACGTCTCCGGACTACTGCAGATATTTTATTAGGGGAAAAGAAATACACTCGTGTTTACAAAACACTCTCGAAACCACTCACAACTCACAACTCAAATACACACAGAAGCTAAAACTGCTCCCTTTCTTTTCTCTCTTTCTCTCTGTATTTGTTGTATTTCTATTGTGAAAATCTCATCAGAATCCCCCTCAATTTATAGAGGGGGAAGTGTACAATTTCTTCCACAGATGTGTGCTATACCTTTCAGCAAAATTGTGTTGCCGTGTTGCATTTGTTCTTCCTTGTGATGTTGTCAAATTTTTATTCTTTTCCCATTTTTGTTTCTTGTCAAAAAAAATGGGCAGCTGTCCATTGTTGACTCAACAACTATGTGACTAAAATTTTCGAGAATTGTATAAAAAAATCACTTTTTCGAATCTTATCGAGCTGAGTCTAGCTCGACTCATTTACTAAATGAACTTTAAACGAGCTCAAGCTCGAGCTCCGACTCCCTCGTCGTTATCAATATTAACGAGGCGAACTATAATAAATTATAAAAAATTAAGAATAAAAAATCATCTTTTCGAGCCATAAACGATCGTACTCGACTCCCTAAACGAACTTTGAGCGAGCCAAGCTCACGACCGGAGCCTCATGAGCTCGTTTACCACCTCTTCGTGCTCTCGGCACATTAATGAAAAACCTTAATCAATGAGACTCGGCCGAAGCCGACGAAACAAAGATTTTTTTTATCGACTAACTATTTAGTTAATTACCACGGGGAGGACACTAGTGTCACCATCGGAAAATCCCCAAAAGTCCTTGCCGTGGGCGTTGATGGTGCCGCCACCGGTGACCTCGACGTTCTCGGCATGCTGGACCATAATCCAAGCGCCATGTGAGTAGGAGCTCGGGTCGGAGCTTGCCGTGATGTTGCCCTGAATCTCGATGGTGATTGGTTGCGTGCATGGGCCCGTGAAAACCACCTCACCGACCATGAACTCACCCTTTATCAAAACCTTTGCGGGCCCGCTTGACTCGCACGCTGCTTTCCAGGCCTGGATGAATGCCTTAATATTTTGCAGCACAACAACAAAAAGAAAAAAAACACAACCAATTAATTAACTGATTACTTCAACAAAATACTACATTTGTGTACTACACTGAAAGAGATTTTTTTTTAATGTTTAAATAATTATTATAAAGTTATGTTATTATTTAATTTAAAATGAAACTTATCGTTTGTGCGACTTACCGCTCTTACATAGCTTTTTTTTTTTTTTTTT